GATTCCTCTTGCTTGGCTGTGAATGAGTTAGGAAACCTTCTGTCATCATGGTTTAAACAGAGATTATTGCTCATCTAATTTCTAACAACCCTGGAGGACTATCCTATTAATAAGTTTAATAGTTGTATCAACCCCTTCCTCTTCTCCTGGGAGGAAGAGGCAGATGGAAACTCCCTTCCTCTTTCTGCTTTGTGTGTCAGGGGTGGGGAGAAGGGAAGCCCCCCCCAGCTTCTCATTTCTTCAAGGGTAAGGTAAAGGTTTCCCTTGCTCGAAAGCCAGTTGCCCCCTCCCGAAAAGCGCATCAGCTGACAGCAGCACTTAACGGCCCCGTGGCTAGTGGCTGGGACAGGCTGCTGGCCTGCTGCGACTGTCTGTGAGACTGCGACTCGAAGCTGTTTCTCTCCTCTCCTCCCCACCGTGCCACCACGCCGGGCGCTCAAGCTGCCAAATCGCTCGCTCACAACTTGAATGCCAGAATTTTTGCTCACAAAGCTCCACAGCTTAGAGGGAACAGCATTGGCCAACACCAGTCTGAGCAGTGGAGCCGGTGGGATCACGGCCCGGCGCAGGGAGGGAGGGTGGTGGTGGTGGGGGTCCAGCGGGCTGCCAACGGGGTGGCCGGGGGAGAGAAAGAGGCGGTGACAACTGGGGGCAGCAATGGGTGGGCTTTTGGTGGGGGCACTGTTTTGGGGGGGGACGAGTCACTTTTTAGCACCCGCATCCAGGGCCCGCCCTGACCTAGGCAAAAGACTAGTTCACCTAGTGGGTGGGCCAGCCCTGCCTCTGGGGCAACTAGATGGCCACTGTGTGAAACAGTATGAGGGTTAGATGGACCACTGATCCCATCCAGCAGGGCCCTTCTTACATTCTTAAGAATGTTTCTCAAGGACTAGTTCACCTAGTGGGTGGGCCAGCCCTGCCTCTGGGGCAACTAGATGGCCACTGTGTGAAACAGTATGAGGGTTAGATGGACCACTGATCCCATCCAGCAGGGCCCTTCTTACATTCTTAAGAATGTTTCTCAAGGATAGCCCATTTAACCTGACATAACTATATGCAAGTGTGTGAATAAGTAACCAATAAAATGGCAAGTATTCTTGTAATTAGCAGGATACTAAACTAATTTTAAAAAAAACTGTTGTAAAAAGAAGGACCAGGGTACTTCATACCTGGTGTGACAACTCATGAGCAATCACTGCTGTTATTTTTTTCTTATCCATTGCCGAAGATGTTTTATTATCATGAAGGAGCATTGTTTCTCGGAAAGTGATCAAGCCCCAGTTTTCCATAGCCCCTGCTTGAAAATCAGGAATAGCTACTAAATCTGGAGAGAGAGAGAGAGAGAGAGAGAGAAAGAAGAATTTTCCTTTAATTAGCCAGCAGCATCAAAATGTCAATTCTTAATATTTACTATACTTAGGAAACATCTCAGGGAAATACACACACACTAAAATGTAAGCACATGGAACACTTCTGTATTCCATTTTTAATCATATGGTACCCAAGAAACATTTAAAGGCCATTTTCCAGTAATGTCTAACCAAAACACACACACACACACACACACACACACACAGAGTTTCAAATTCAATGAACAGAAAACATGCCATCCTTGCAAAGTCAAAATACTAACATTCACAAAACCATCACCACAAATATGCGCATGGCATTTTAGAGTCCAAGATGACAGTTCCCCATTCTAAGGAGCTTACAATCTAAAATTTGGCATAAGGGAGGTGAAGGAAGTAAAGGTGAGAAAAACAGGGAAATAATATTTATTCATTCATGGGATACAAAATGAGACTGCGTTTGAAAATGAGATTTTGCATAGGAATGTTATTGGTAAGAAATATGCTGTGCATTTCTCACTATTGTAACTGGGCCACTTCACACACTGCTGCTCCCATTTTGCTTACGACATTATTTAGTGAGGTATCACTGTATCACAAGACACTGCACAAAACGTTTCTAGCTATGAATGTGTATTCTGACTTTTTTAAAAACAGCAAAAAGTTCCATGCACCACAACACACTCTAAAATACCATTTAACTTGATTTTCTCTGACCATAATAACAAGGCCAGAGAAGAGACCCAGGGGATGCACACATCTTACCCCAGAGGTTTACACATAATTTGTGCAAAACATAAGATAACAGAAGAATGTAAAGTCTCACCTAATTTAGGAAGAGGGTATTTTATACCAAAATACTCCTGATAAAACTCAAGAAGCTTCACTGCTGTGTCCAAGGCATATTCAGCCTGGTCTAACTTGTGCGGCACAGCATAGACAGACACCTGTTACAAAGAAAGACAGTTAAGAACACATTACAAAAGAGTTACAAAAGGACTTGCAACTTTTGTCCATATTTGAAAGGAGGCAACTACTCTTAAAAGGATTTCACAAAAGGAGCACTTGTGAAATTACACAAAATAATGCAGTTCACATTTCTTGGTAAACAAGAAGATTGCTCATATGTGCCTTATAGCCACCTTCTTAAGTAGTAAAATTAATTTTAAAAAAATTCTGATGACAAAAGACTAGCTTCCCTCACACAAGCACAGCCTTCTTCACAGTTCAGAACACTAGTGCTGGCTGCCCAGCTCTAACAGCCACTGCTGGTCTGCCAAACAGGTGAGAAGAGCAGTGGAGGTACCAGTAAAGATTGCCCACCTTGCCAAGGTTGACAGGTAGAAAGCCTGAGAACTTGTTCTCAAATACCATATGCACCATTTATACTTGACCAGCAAGCAATAAAATTGTAGCTTATGCCAGCAACATCAAACCAAGGAAGCATCATCTACCTTTCCTTTGGTACGTCCTTCGCAAAAGCCACTTCTACCCAGCAGACTGGCAAATATACTTTCTTGTGGCTCAACAGATTTGGGACTTGAGGATTCCTTCATACTAATTTGGCTTGGCAAAGCAGATTATACAGCCATGTTTGCCCCAGGCATAATTTTAGTAAGTCAGGAAGCCACAATTTAGCAAGTGCATTGTCAGTTTACTCTAGCCAAATGCTAGGGGAAAAACAGTTTATTTGTATGCAGCAGCTGAAAGAAAAGAAAACATACCAGAATCTCACTTGTTTCCTTACTGATCTTTGCCAAGTCTCCAACAATGACTGCTACTAGGTAAGTGCTCATTTTCAGGCTGATGGAGAACTCATCTTGAACTAGTCCATCCGTCATAGGAGTGGTTTTTATCTGGAATCAGGACAACAGAGTTTATCAGCAGGCAATGAAATAAGCTGAGCAGGAACCAAGATAACCTGGGTCACTGAAACATGGGTTGTTTGCCCAGCTTAGATGCTACTGGAAAGAGGGTTTTCTTCCTGCTTCCCTACAGTATTGTGCTACTCACGCACACTTACTGGGTTCTCTATGTGTTTCCTGTGATCATTCCCAAACCTGCTTTGCTATGATGTTTTGGAAAAGATCACAGCAAAACTGGGTTGGCACCGATGTGGATGGGAAAGTCGAGATCTTCCCAGTCCTACACCCACAAAGGCATTATGTTCCGTGCCCCAGTCCACTTAAGCAGCCATTGGTTGTCATATCACTAAAGGGCTTTTATGCCTTTTAACTGGCAACTGAGTATCATTGTAGCGTTGTAACTATGAGTCAGACTAAAAGTCATGGCAGCCACTGGTCCATCCCACGGCCACTGATGCCATTTTAGAAACATTCTAGTTTTTTAGAAATCGCTGTGGGGTTGAAAGTCCAGGTCCAGTGCATGGCCACCAGTGGCCACCATGCTCCATTGGCATCTTCAGCAGTAATGGGGGAACTATACAAGCTGTTCCTGGTATGGAAAACACCCTGTTCTATTTTAAAATGGTACAAACATGAATTACAACTGTCATTAATATACAAAAGGTAAAATTTAAGATGCTGACATTCTCTATCCCAGCCTTGAAACTACATTGCACATATCATGCTTGCCAGACTGGTATACTGGTTATAGTGTAGAGTCAGAGCCAGGGGGAGCCAGGTTCAAACCTGGTTCAAACAACTGCGCTACCATAAAGCCTGCTGAGGGTCCTTGCAGGACCAGTCACTCCCTCTCACACTAATCTACCCGTCAAATTTGTAGTGAGGACATAACGGAAGCAGAGAGCACGACATATGCCACCCTGAGTGCCTTGGAAGAAGAGTGAAATAAAAATGTTACACAGTGGTATTATTCATATGCATATCTGTCACAGAAGATCATGCAAAGATTCCTGCTCCCACAGAGATTCTGAATGACTTCTATCATTTAGCATTTTACTGGAGAACACAGATTTAAACACAAAATGCAATACCAATCACTGTGGATACACAGAAAAGGGTTAGGGTTTCCCTAAGAACAGCTCTTATCAGAACTACAGCATGCCCAAGGGTTAGGGTTGATAACCTCTGTGGGTTTCCAAGAGGCCATTGCAGTAAACAGGCTCCAAATTATATGGACTTCTGGCCTTACAGCAGTCCATTTCATCTTATGAATTTTAGTTCTGTGACTACTGAAATATTACCAGACATTGCCCGGATGTTCTCATTTTTTCCCTTCATTTTAAACATGAAAGCAGAGTCTACGTGATATGAAACTGCACCATGGCTTTTCCATGGCAAAAATCATAAGTCAACACACATTAATACCCCCCTCCCACACCACACACAGGCATGAGGGCAGCGGTGTAAGCCTACCTTTGGCATATTGGACAGAGCAATATGTTGTGGTTCCCTCTTGACCTTGACTTGAAAAGTGGCTTTGAATGCTGGTTCATCAAAGCAAGGAAAAACAGATCTTGCTGCCAGGGGCTCAAACTGAGTTGCTGCAAGCCACCTGAAGGAAAGTAGAAGTAATCACATTACTGTATTTAGAATCTCTCACAAGTTCAGTGCAAAGAGAAAAACTTCAAGAAAAAAAATAGTCTTTTTATTACGTATTTGGTGAAGAGAAGGAATTGCTATGTTGACAGATTCTTAAAAGGTTTGTCATTTAGAACTTGACATAAACAAAGGAATTTAGGAACCCGACTGTTCACTAGATAATGACATCAGTGTTTATCATTATGGAATTTATAATTTTCAGTATTATGTAGTTTACCTGGAACTAGTCAAGGTATTTTATTCTGTCACACAGTTACTTCAGGTGCCATGATGCATCAGATACTTCCCTAGACTACAACTACTGCACGTTCTCTAGGTGATGCCTTCTACACACTGCATCTTTAGATTACTTATTCCCACTCTGCTTTAGTGCACACTGTATATTTTTTATAATTTAGGAAAGATAGCTATATGGCAGAGACCAAGCTTTGAAACAGTAATTCCTGACTACATTTGTGGTTCGCTAGTTGTCTTTGTTCAGGGCCTAAGAACAGAAGACACTTAATCTGTCATTCCACTTTCCTCCTCACATTCTCAAGAAGTCATTCCTTGAACTACCCTCCTTCTCCAAGTACCATCTGATTTCTTTTCTACCCTCTGGCTTCAAATGCCTAGAACATGCTGCTTACTCCGCTCCCTTCAATACATTTAATCATGCTCCCACTCAGTTCAATTCACAACAGTTTTATGGTTTAGTCTGCTTGATTCATTCACTGTGTCTCAAGTGGGAAGCTCTTCCTATTTCACTCTATCCATGGTGGTCCCCTCAGGAAATCTGAATTTATCTCTCTCTTTTCTCTCTTTACAGACTGTTCCTTGGAGAAAAAAAAAACTTCTTTTAAGGCCTGTGATCTCACCATGGCCATATGGACAGTCTATGGGAGGTCAGGTCACCTTAAGCAGGCGGCTGGTTGCTTAACATAACTGGGCACAAAAGTGGTATCTGGAATCAAGGGAACCCATCTTGTGATCCTGGCTGCCTTTTCAGGCTGCCAAGATTACCCCCTCCAAACAGGGTGATATCTGCCTTGCATTGGGCAATGCTTATTTTGGAAGAAGAAGAGATTGGATTTATACCCTGCCCTTCACTACCCAAAGGTGTCTCAGAGCGACCTACAAACTCCTTTCCCTTCCCCTCCCGACAACAGACACCCTGTGAGGTAGATGGGGCTGAGAGAGCTCTTGACAGAAACTGCTCTTTTTTCAAGAACAGCTCTTATCAGAACTACGGCATGCCCAAGGTCATCCAGCCAGGTGCAAGTGGAGGAGTGGGGAATCAAACCCAGTGCTCCCAGATTAGAGTCCACACACTTAACCACTACACCAAACTGGCTCTCTGGACAGAGTCAGGGCCTTCTGGCAAGCTTCCCCACCAGATGTGGCTATATTGTTCTCTTCTTGGGCACTAGGGGAGTGGTAGATGGTGGAGAGGGAGAGCCACTGATGCTCCAAACCCGATCATGTAAGTACCCATTTGATATTTCCACTTGGATATCTCACCACCATTTAAACTCAGTATGTCCAAGACTGAGCTCAGGTTTCCTCCCAAGCACGAACCCTTGGTTTTATCTTTAATTTCATTTGCTCCCCATATCTGGTTTGTTACCAGTTACATCTTTTTGTGCTTTATAATATTGCAGAAATATAGCCTCCTTGTCACACTACTTAAATAAAAAATTCTGATTCATGCTCTGATTACCTCTTGCGTTGACTACTGCAACATCCTTTTCTCCAACTGTTCTGATCATGTGACAACTCCTTGAATCCCTACACTGAATTCCTCTCTATTCCCATATTCAATATGAACTCTTCATCCTTATCTTTAAAGTTCTCCACACTTTTACTTTTCTCACTCAAGCCACACAAGTCCCTGCCTTTGATCATTTCTCCAGCTCCACTAAGTTCTGCCATCCAAAGGCCTCCTGCTACCTCAGACTGCCCTTCCTTCATGGCTACTCATTCAATCTACAACTACCCTCCAAGAACATGCTTGATGACAGTTCTCTTACTTCCTTCAAATCCCACAAAATCTACTCTCTCTGTGAAGCCTCTGGCGTAATCCCTTAAGTCTGCATCTCCTATGGAAATTGAGTCCAAGCATGTATAACTGAAATGAATTTTCTTCTGTTTATCGCCCACAATACCTTCCGTCCCTTTGTCAAGTTTTGTTCCACTGTGAAATTTTAAGCTTATAAGCTCTTTAAGGCAGGGGACACATCTTCTTCTACAATGCCATACAGATGGAGCTATATTAAAAACATTTTATTTAAACTTTAAATGTTTTAAAGTTTTTTAAAAACTTTATTTAAAATTATGTATTATCCTCGAATTTAAAACGGGATGGGGCTGAAGCACAGTTGCTTGACTGACGCTACCTACTGTACTTACGACAGAGATGACATTTGTAACCCACCTAAAGGCTAGTATGTTACAAATTCCTGTATGGTACAGGTAAAACAGATACTGGCAGGGGAAAGCTTATGGTTGACTACAGTAGATACTGATGTGAGAATTCTCATCCTATTGCCTTTACGAAGATTCTAGAACAGAGTACCCTACATTGGAAGCTTGGCTGAAATGCAATTCAGAAATGCATTGCTTCTTTCCTAAAAATGCAGGAATTGTACCCTTTCCTCCTAAAATAATGCCTATTTTGGCAAGTTGCACCCATGAACTCATACACAGCTCAATGGCTGATGCAAATATGCCAAAAAAGGGAAGATGACCTGACCCTGAAATGGAATGTTTTATCTCATTATAAGATGCAAAGTACATATAATGAAGAAGATATGAACTACTATGGGGCAAATTTACCATACAAAAAAATAAAATAAAACAGGAGCCAAACTCCAAAAATGAAGGAAAAATACAGAATCTAAGAAGGAGGACAGTATAAGATTTAACTGCTCCAAGACCATTCAGGAGATATCTGTGCGCCCAAGCACATGTGATCTGGATCCGTGCCCCTCCTGGCTTATTAAAGCGGGCCACGAGAGGTTTCGAGGTGCTCTGCAGGAGATTGTCAACAAGTCCCTCATTGAGGGACAGTTCCCCAGAGCACTTAAAGATGCAATGGTCCGCCCTCTCTTGAAAAAGGTGTTGTTGGACCTGTCGGCTGCGTTCGATATGGTCGACCACCAGTTGCTGGCCTGCCGCCTCACTGACGCGGGGATTCAGGGGCTTGCCCTTCAATGGTTTGTCTCTTTTCTCCAAGGTCGGGGACAGAGGGTAGCGATTGGGGACCAGCGATCCCGAAGGCATCCCCTTGAGTGTGGGGTGCCCCAGGGAGCTGTGTTGTCCCCGATGTTGTTTAACATCTACATGTGTCCCCTCGCCCAGATTGCCCGGAGGTGTGGGCTTGGGTGTCATCAATATTCTGATGACACCCAGCTCTATCTGATGCTGGGCGGCCAGTCGGACTCTGGTCCCGAGGACCTTCATCGGGCGTTGCAAGCTGTGGCTGGTTGGCTCAAGCTGAGTCGGTTGAAATTAAACCCGGAAAAGACGGAGGTCCTGGGCCTGAGTCGGACCGGTCTGGGGTTGGGGCTCCTGCTCCCGGCCTTTGACGAGGTGCCATTGGTGCCTCGGTGGGAGGCTAAGAGTTTGGGGGTGCTCCTGGACTCCTCGTTGACAATGGAGGCCCAGGTAGCAGCCACTGCCAGGGTGGCCTTTTATCATCTGCGGCTGGCTTGGCAGTTGGTTCCCTACCTTGACCGTGACAACCTGGCCACTTTGATCCATGCGACGGTCACCTCGATTTACCTGAAGGACCGCCTCTTCCCGTATGTTCCCTCAAGAGCACTCCGATTGGGGAACTGCCATCTCCTGGAAGTTCCAGGTCCCCGAGGGATTAAGTTTGCCCCTACTAGGGCCAGGGCATTTTCGGTGGCGGCTCCTACCTGGTGGAATGAGCTCCCAGAGGAGATCCGGGCCCTGCGGGACCTTATGCAGTTCCGCAGGGCCTGCAAGACGGAGCTCTTCCGCCAGGCGTTCGAGTAGGAGCCGCCGCCGCCACTATCCTACCACCGAGGTAGTATGTCATCGGCTGCCCTATGAAAGTGGGGCAGGTATGCCCAGGCAGAAGTCATAGACAGCATAGCAGGACGCTACTGAGATAGCTGGCCACCAAAGCTGCATGGTTAGTCCCATCTTGGTTGAATGATATAGCACCGTGTTGTAGGATGGTTTTTGGGGTCAAATATTGTATTTTATTGTATGTTTTATTGTATTTTAGATTCCGGCTTTGCTGCCTGTGAACTGCCCTGAGCCTTTGGGAGGGCGGTATAGAAATCCAATAAATAAATAAATAAATTATGTGGTATAAAAATGTAAAAAATAAAACTAAGTCTGGACCAATTAATTAGGTCTTGCCATCTACATCTACGGCTTTCCCAAGCATCATCCCCCAAAGTGGCAGTTACCCCCACATTCCAGGAAATCTGACAAGGCCATTGCCCAGTAGGGCTTGTGGTGGGCAGGTGGTTCCCACCATGAAACAGCTACTATGGGACAGGCTGGAGAATGGGTAAGTTGAGAGACTTCTCTGAGTCCCTTCTCTCACTGTAGATGCATGCTATGCTATTCTTGAGGGTTCACTGGTCCCCAGGAACAAAGTTTCCAAGGGTTACGGTGACTGAAGCAGGAGGGCAAGATCAGCAGAAAGCACCATCCATCTGAATAAGAAACCTAAAGGCACTTCAGTTTCCTTAACTGCATGGTTAAATGCAGACTATTGGCTGCACCTCTGTGGATCATTTTACCATCTATGTCATGTTGTCATGACTGTATACTCAGTCACAGTGTCATCTGAAACTAACAAGAGGTTCTGCCCAGCAGTCAATTATTCCTTTATCTGTTGCACTGATTGTAAGACACTGCCTACAAAAATGTCCATTTAGAATACCATATCCTGTTTTCTACTTTCTGTCAAGAGCAATACACTGGGGAATTAACACACACCATATCCTGTTTTCTACTTTCTGTCAAGGGGAATTAACACATTCATATTTACCTAGCCGTTATTTTCACATATTCAGTTTTGTGCCCAGAGAATACATTCCTAAACTGTAGTAGTAGCAATTAGTTGTTTTCTCTCTCACTTTCTCTCATACACACACACAGAGTGCTCCTTGGTAATGACTGAACTGAGGAACAAAAAGAAAGGGTTTTCTTTATTCTAAAAGAAAAATGTCACCTTATATTGAAATCTCCTGATATTAAATTTAACTATTAAATTAAGCAGCGTTGGGTTATGTGTTGCTCTCTTCTGAAGAAATAGATCTTTTCATATATACCTTCAGGTGCTAAACACTGAGTAAGCACTGAACAATGCTTTCACTTCATTCAGGAAACATAAAGATATTCGATCATGTGTCAGATGATCATGACATCTTCAAAACAACCAGATTTAAACAACTTTCCAAGCTTACCTTTCTGTTGAACTGTTGTAGGCAATTTTGTAAAAACCATAATAAGTGTCAGATAAATTGGAGTAATATTCCATGTTTAAAGTATAGTTGTGTCCACCAAGGAGAGCTTCTGGGGCCAAAATTGCAATCTGGTCATTCATTGGATATACCAGAAACTCAACTGGCTTTGGTTGCCTCGAACCCAATGGAGTAAGAGTTGCCTTGGTAATATTTAGTCTTGAGCTATGCAGTATGATATGCCACGTAACTTCGAGGACATTCACAATTATCTGAACAGAACCTGAAAACATTAGACTGGTTAAGTTTGGCTGTAACACAATGGCATAATGTACTGGCATCACAGCACTTGGAAGCCTAATATTCGCCCATGGAAAGCGCTGTCCATTGGTTGCAAGAGGATATACTAGTTCCGCTGTCTGTTTTTTCTTTTGACAGCCTTCTTTGGTAAAGGTACATTTAGGAAGAAGATAGATGGCCATTATTACGGAAACAGCAATCACAAGAATGACAGCACAGATCACCGTGGTCCTTACAGATGGTGCAGAGCATGATCCACCTGAACTCTGCCTGTAGCCTGTGGTGCTATTGCGCAGGCCTGTGCTTCTATTCATAAATGACATTCCTAGAAGTTTGGCTGATGATTCATAATCCTCTTCATCTTCATCTATTTCATGTTCTGCAAGACCACGTACTAGAAGCCGAGAGCTCCTTGGTTCATACTCCACTTCATCAGGCTCCAATGGATGCAAGCAAGGTTCTTTAGCTAAGTCAACTACATCAGGTTCTTCCTCAAACATGCTGTTTTCAATCATATTCCTAGGTAACTGAATTCGATCTAAAAGAAAAAGACAATCAAAAGAAGTACATTAAACGGAAAGTTTATTAGATTGTATTTTTTTCCTTCCTACATTGCTGACGTATTAAGGGTTGAGACTCCCATTATAACACTTGTGTGGGCAATGCACTGGAAATGCATTTCATGATATCAAACTCTACACAGTAGCTTGTAATGAGCAAGAACTGCTTTCCAAGTAATTTATCTGGGTTGGCGGAAGAGTTTCCATGCTAGCCACCACCAATACAACAGCTGTGCGGAGACTGTGGCTTTCCACTTGATAAGGAGCTTAACACTGAGACCACAGAACCACCCCTTTGTGAAAATTCTGGCATTCTTCTACATGTGACCTAAATGTTAAATACTGGAATTAAGTAGCAGCAACAGAATATTAATTGTTGTAGATTTTCCCGGCTGTATGCCCATGGTCTTGGCATTGTAGGACCTGATGTTTTGCCAGCAGCTGTGACTGGCATCCTCAGAGGTATAACACAGAAAGATGGAGTACTCTCTGTGTCAAGCAACAGAATACTTAATTAGTTTTAGTGAACAGTTGCTATGCTGGTCCCAAAGAGATCCGCTCTCTACACATTCAAGTAGCATGTTTTACTCAGGCAGTTGTGTTGGCAAAGTAGACGTCTTCCAAGATGCTCACAAGTCTTCCAGTAGGGATAAAAAAAGCAGTTGTAAAAATGTTCACATAAATTATTAACCTTTAAAAATATTTTCTGCCATGACCAGGCTGCCCAATCTCATCAGATCTCGGAAGCTAAACAGGGCTGGCCCTGGCTAGTATTTGGATGGGAGACCTCCAAGGAATAGCATGGTCGTGATGCAAAGGCAGGCAATGGCAAACTACTTCTGAATGACTTTTGCCTTAAAACCCATATGGGTCGCCATAAGTGAGCTATGACTTGACAGCACCTTTCTACTACCACCAAAAATATTCTCTAGCCCATTAAGCCTGCATATATCAGTAAGTTACTTGCAGGGGTGGACTAGAAAGCAAAAATGGCCTCGGAAATGGCCCCCGCAACAGAGGGAGAGAAAGGAGCTAAAGGCATCCTTGCTCACGGCAGCAGCTGCTCACCCAACTAGCACAGGGCTGGGACAGCTGGACTGCTTGCAAGGGCAGCGGCTCATCCACAAGCCACTCCTCACTTGGGGATAGCCCCAGTAGTTCTCACAGCTGACACTGGGAATGAACCACAGCAATGCTCCCTCTAAGCTGTGGAGTCTTGTGACCAAAAATTCTACTTTGTGAGCTACTGGCATTAAAGCTGTGAGCAAGCAATTTGGCTTCCTGAGCTAAGATAAAAACGTGCGAGCTGGAGGCTAAAAACTGTGAGCTAGCTCACACTAACTCAGCTTAGAGGGAACACTGAACCAAAACCCTTGCAGCTGCTGCCATGGGCAAGTCCACTACCTGCCCATCTCACACATGGGCCAGGCAGCCAGCTCACTCATGGCACTGGTGGCTGCTCACCCACTTGGAACTGGAGTAGCCCTGGTGGTTCTAGTAGCTGTTGCCACAAGTGAGCCAGCTGCTCCCTTGCTCCACATAGAGCTAGAAACAAAACCAAAGAACAGCACAGAAGAAGTATGCAAAACAAAGGAAATATTCTGTGTTCAGCAATAAACAACCACAAATATTAAACAATTGGATCAAAATGTAATCTCTCCTTATATATAATTGAGTATGAACATTCTATATTGAACATTCTAAATTTGGCCTCCTTAGTGTTAGGCCGGAAGAACTGCCACTCAGAAGACACTGGCTGGGTTGACTGGCTGCTTTGTGCAGTCCCGCCCAGCGTTCCAAGGTCATTTGCATATGGAAGCTGATTGGACCACATTCCATTCCACACCTCAAACTCACCCCCCCGCAAGGCAGTTGGAATTTTCAGTTGGGAGAGGAGAATGATGTCAGCTGCTCCCTAGGCAGAGGCTGTGTGTGTGTGGGGGGGTTTTTTTGTAAAGACAGAGAGGCAGATAAAGGTTGGCTGATGGTTGCCAACTCCAGGTTGGAACTCCAGGACATAGGGTTGCCAACTCCAGGTTGGAAACTTCCAGGATATTTTAGGGATGAAGCCTGCTGAGGGTGGGATCTGAGGAGGAGGAGGAGGAAGAGGGGGACCTCAGACAGATACAATGCCATACTGCCCACACTCCAGACAAGCTGTTGCCAGTCTCCAGGTGACAGCTGGAGAGATCTTAAAGCTTTTGTGCTACTTCAAAGTGTTGCAATTTATCAACAGAGTAGTGTTTTGGAAAATCTTTAGGAATTGTTTGGTGCATTTACGATGGGGCTCCTGGGGAACTATTGTTGCCAATCTTGGCCCAGCAGCCATCAAACCATTCTCTTCAACCCCCTGCTGTGCAGCTGACTTCCCCCTAGGGTTGCCAATCTCCAGGTGGGACCTGGAGATCTCCCACTGCTACAATTGATCTCCAGATGACAGAGATCAGTTCCCCTAGAGAAAATGACTGCTTTAGGAGGGTAGACCCTATGACATTATACCTGCTGAGTCCTTCCGCCCCCCCCCCGCCCAATGCTGCCCTCTACAGAATCCACCCCCCAAACCTCCAGGTATTTCCCTCCTTAGAGCTGGCAACCCTACATTCCCCTCAGTGCCTGTTGGGAGTGGGTGGTGGGGGAGGGGAAGGGAGCAGGCGACCGGTCCTGGAGTGGGGGGGTGGAAACGAACCCGGCAGCCGGAGGCTTGCACCTCCAGTCGCCGGCCCTGGAGTGAGTGGGGTTGGGGGGGGGGAAACGGACCCTGCGGCCGGATGTC